ATATATATATCCGAGCATATACCGCGTGTATGAAGGCCTGCACTTCTCCCCAGAAAGAATCCACTGGATCCATTCCTTTGTTCGTCGGTACACTTTCTTCACTTGCTGTACCACCACCAGCTGACTCGATGCCTTTTATAAATCCTTCCAGTAACTCATCGAGGGCTTCTATGCCTTCGTTAAGCATCTCTGTGACGGATCCCAACATTATTGACGATAATTAGAACTAATTACAATACTAGAACGTGTTTGTGTGTATCTATGTAAATACTATTTTGTAATACATGAGCTCGTCTGGTGTGGTCTCCTACATTCTTCGTGGTGTTGTTATTTACATAGAGCGAGCTGACATGTTCTCACACAAGAGAGAGCGAGGAGATTTGGTCTGTCTGAGTTTTTACAGCAGTGCTTTTCGACAACTTTTTTTGACTTTTCTCCCCAAGTGTTGGGTTAGTGAGACGAATGACGCGAGAGTTGACACTTGACAACCCAAGAAATCGCACACCCCCCAACCAACTGCACACAGAAATATAAATAATAATAAATATATATATTCCACTTCTTGTCTGATATGTAATCTGATTTATTTATTTTAGAAGGCGACTACATATGTACATAAACATTAGTCGCCTCTGACATAGCCTTCTAACACGAACAGACGGCTATGCCTATGACAGAGTTTAGGACAAATTCTGCGTAGTTTTTAATGTATTTACGGGGGGATGGTACTTTTTGTTTTAAAAGAAATATAACATTTTATTTGTCTGTAGCAGAGGCTTTTTATATTTAATAAATAGAGTGTATAAAGGCTCACATAGTATTTTTTTTCTTTTTTTTAAATAAAATCATCTATCTCAAGAGGACTACAGAGGTATTTTAGTGCATTTACACGTAAATACGTCGGACTATGGTGTGCATCATCTCAATTGTATATATTTATAGTAAGCGTCTTCAACTTTTCTACGGAATTATCGTGTTGGAATGCTGAATAGATTATTTGGATATCTATATAGAGCGGTTTCGTCAACTGGAAGCGTTGATAGTAATGCGTAGTTGTTCCAGCTCAAGTACGTGGCTATTTGGTCTTCCTCAATGATATACATATTGTACGGTCTTCCAGTCTTGGGAACGTAAGATTGCTAGAACCTAATACAAGCTCACCAATAGTAGACTGGGAATGATAATAGCACCATATCAGACTTTTTTACGTATTTGTTGTAGAATAAGTGCTGACCAGCAAGCGGATGGCGAATAAGTTACTGATCAGAGGCGAGCTTGTCCGACTTTCGATGGAGTAGCCTTCTTGTGCGTTCTGCGCTTAAATGCTTGCAAACCTCTTGCTGAAGATGAGGGTATGCTATTTAAAAGCCTTTATACATTCCTCGATCATTGTCCGATTTTTCTCTATAATACTTATGTATGTTAGTTCAATTCCATGTGGATCAAAATCTGTGTATCCACCGTTAGAATATACGAAACACTAATCAACTGTGATCGAATATGCACCCCTTGCATGTCGCACGTGACCAATCTATACATAACCTTTTAGGAGGTTATTTACATACATATTCATAGATGTCATAATCGTTTCAACAATATCATATATATATGTGTGTGTGTGTGTGTGTGTGGTGTGTGTGTGTGTGTGTGTGTGTGTGTGTGTGTGTGTGTAGTATATATACAAATATTCATATATATATATACATATATATATATATATACATATATATATATTCATATATATATATATATATATA